GGCAAATGCCCGGTATGCCCGATGGCCAGTCCAGCTATGGTGACAGAGCATGTCCAGAGGCCCACAACGTGGAAGGCGGCGGCGACGACCTCGTTCAGGGAGCCAACCATGCGGAAGGCAGTGGCGGCAACGCCATCGTTCAGACAGAAGGCTGAACAGGATCTTGGAACCTCCAGCGAAGACAGACTGCTGAACGAGCCCCCCGGACCCTCCAGCGGAGGTGGAAGGCTGAATGGGCCCCTCGGACCCTCCAGCGGAGACAGACTGCTGAACGGGCCCCTCTGACTCTCCAGCGAAGGCTGACACCGAACCAGCTGGGGTGAAGACCTCTGGCAGAAAAGGATCAGAACCAGCAGGCGCGGAGACCTCTGGCAGAGACAAAGGTAACTGAAACTGCACAGGGCACTGGCTCTGCCCAGGCAGCGCTGACATGGTGCAGTCTTCAGGGGGCTGCTTAACCTGCAGGGGTCCAGAATCAGCTGGGGACTGAGACCTAGCCTCTGGGGAGGCACCGAAGGGAATGACTGTGCCTAAAGCAAGTAAGTTGTGAGAAACACCCTAGGTGGGAATGAGATGTTCTCCCTGCATAGAGATAATGGATGGCTGAGTGGCCAACAGAACTGTAGACTGAGCTACATGTAGCGGGGACTGTAGCAGGAGAATGAACTGAAGGGAGTTGAACTGGAGACTGAAATGAAGGAAACAATGGAGACTGAGCTGAGGGTAGCTGAGTAGCTAACTGGGCATCTAACTGAGCTGAAGGCTGCAGGGCAACTGGTTGGGCAACTAACTGAGCTTGTGGCTGGGCAGCTAACTGGGCGGCTAACTGGGCTGAAGGCTGCTGGGCGGCTAACTGAGATGAAGATGGCTGGGAAGCTAACTGAGTTGAAGGCAGCAGAGCAGTTGACGGAAGAAACACGGCCCCAGAATAAACAGTCCCAAAGTCAGAAAGCCCACAATTCACGTCTCTTTTTAAAAAAAAAAATTTTAAAAAAAGAAAAGAAAATAAAAGAAGGTGTAATGTGTTGATGATGAAATTCCGTGCGAGCGGGTGAAATTAATCCAGTAGCCAGGGGAGACTGGAAATTAATTGTTGTAGCCTTGTTTCCATGGGGCAATGAAACTCCTCTCCCTTATGATCGAGCCACAGTTGAAGGAGTTTCTCCATGGAGTAAATAGTGTCCTGGTGAAAGTCTTCTGGTGGGTTGTATGCCACTGGGTCCATCTTGGCTGGTTCATACTGCCATGGTTAGCAGGGCAAACCGTGTGGAATTATTAAAGGACCCAAGATGCAGGCACTACTGATGTGAGGGAGCTTTATTTATGGTGAGTGAACATACAGTGGCTTGCAAAATACTTTTCCAAGCCACTGTAGTTCAAGGGGGCCACTGCAAGCCGCCTTGAACTTTTCCATATTTTGTCACATTACAACTACAAACATGAATCAATTTTAGTGGAATTCCACGTGACAGACCAATACAAAGTGGTGTACAAGTGAGAAGTGGAACGAAAATCATACATTATTCCAAACATTTTTTTTCCAAATAGATAACTGAAAAGTGGGGTTTGCGTAATTATTCAGCCCCCTTTGGTCTGAGTGCAGTCAGTTGCCCATAGACATTGCCTGATGAGTGCTAATGACTAAATAGAGTGCACCTGTGTGTAATCCAATGTCAGTACAAATACAGCTGCCCTGTGACGGCCTCAGAGGTTGTCTAAGAGAATATTGGGAGCAACAACACCATGAAGTCCAAAGAACACACCAGACAGGTCAGGGATAAAGTCATTGAGAAATTTAAAGCAGGCTTAGGCTACAAAAAGAATTCCCAAGCCTTGAACATCCCACAGAGCACTGTTCAAGCAATCATTCAGAAATGGCAGGAGTATGGCACAACTGTAAACCTAGCAAGATAAGGTCGTCCACCTAAACTCACAGGCCGAACAAGGAGAGCGCTAGGGATGGGTATTGATAAGATTTTCACGATTCCGATTCCATTTTCGATTCTGTTTAACGATTCGATTCTTTATCGGTTCTCTTACCGATTCTTTTTTTTTTTTTTTTTAAAAAGGAGAACACTAAGGTCAATTAGCTTAGAACTTTGTTTT